TCTCTCTCTCTCTCTCTCTCTCTCTCTCTCTCTCTCTCTCTCTCTCTCTCTCTCTCTCTCTCTCTTGTGTTAGCTCTTAGTCTCATTGATTTGGCCACCTTAGGGCTGCGTTCCCCGCGCCCACGCCATAGACAATAACCATGCCGAATTCCTGAAAATCCCCTTCCCAAGGAGGGTCTAACGAGGCCCTCTGTCCACTACTCACCAAACGTGCAATATGAGAACGAATTTTCCGCTAGAACCTGCCTGGGAAGATACACCGCCACATTTTTTGTCTTTCATGCATCTGGATAGTAGTGGAGAGACTCTGTGAGAAAGGGATTTCACAAGCAGAAGGAAAGAAAAAGAGAGAACAAAACTCGTTGACAAAGGCACGAGCTGCGACTTCAGCTAGCTTGTCTTCGTTGACCACAGACGACGACTGCAGCTTGCTTCTCTTCGGCTATGGCAGAACAACAGCAACAACCAGCGCCACCTCCTGATGGGCGCATGCACTGGCACGTACTATGGCACTGTCAAACACAATATATAGCTAATTATAAAGTCCCTGAGGATCCCAAACCGCTGTGTCCCTGAATAGGCTGAGCGGCTGTACCTTTTCTTATTATTTTTTTGGGCTTTCCCGGTGATCAAAAATATTGCTGTGCCTATCATATCGTCCAACTTGGTATATTCTTTGTGGGCCATTGTGGCCAATCAAGAAAGGCCAACCCGATGACGTGAATCGTTGATAGGAAGGGCCTCCCTCCACGACCCACCAAATGTGGATAAGGAGAATGAATCTTCCGCTAGAAAATGGAAAGATGCACTGCCATAATTTTTCTCTTGTGCGCATCTGGTGAGTGGTGGGCCCAGACCCAAGAATTCCCATAGCTTATGCTCGTGAATGCTCTGACGATCATCGCTGAGGAACAGACTGAGCAGTGAGCAGTCTACTGAGTCAAGAGCACCTTGCTGTGATTGGTCATCGGTTAGTCCAGTTGGCTGTCCTCGAGAGGGAGTAGCTGCGCATGGGGTCTCGCTCTCATGCACGCGCCGGTGTGAAAAGCATGCGCTTGCGCACACGGTAGATTGACAGGCACATCAGTCAAAGCTGCGCTTCAGGGGAAGGCAGGGCTGTTTCCACAGTGCGACTCTTTCCTCTGAAGGTATGCCATTATGAGTGCAGTAGGCAAAGCCTGCGTTCTGGTTGAGAATTTGTTGACGTTAACGACGTCTCGGCGGCTATAGCGTACGACGGACCAAGCGTGCGTGTGTCACACACACACACACACACACACACACACACACACACACACAGAGAGAGAGAGAGAGAGAGAGAGAGAGAGAGAGAGAGAGAGAGGCGCACCACGCGAAACCCCGCACAAATACAAGAGAGAGAGAGAGAGAGAGAGAGAGAGAGAGAGAGAGAGAGAGAGAGAGAGAGAGGATGTCATCGAGATGCCAGCAGCAGTGTTCAATTATGCCAGCGTTCCGCGGAATTACGAAGGGGTTGGCCAAAGAGATTCTGAGGAATCAGCCCCTCGACATCTATGAGTTCGGCGCCCACTACTTCACTCGCCTCTTGGAGGCACAGCGCAAGATAGACGAAGGTCAATATCCCGACTTGGGCGCTATCGATGCTTCGGAGCTCGATGAGCTTTTGCTTCTGGAATTCATCGCCGCTGATCAGGAGAAGACGGCTCATTATTACCCTCGCGAGATTGTGGAGGTAGGAAATCTCTCGTCCTAAGCCTCACTCCCCCCTCCCCTCCTAGCGCCTTATGAGGCCGCGGTCCTTGAGCTGCGAATTAAAATCCGAAACGGCGCAGGCTTGGGCGGAGGTTGCAGCGACCCTTGTAAAGGATATGTCAAAATGTGGACGCATTTAGCGCCAAATTCAGACACATCTGGCCGTTCTGCACGTTGTCTGCGTGGCATCGGGATCGGTTATGTGCCATCTCTCTCTCTCTCTCTCTCTCTCTCTCTCTCTCTCTCTCTCTCTCTCTCTCTCTCTCTCTCTCTCTCNCTCTCTCTCTCTCTCTCTCTCTCTCTCTCTCTCTCTCTCTCTCACACACACACACACACACACACACACACACACACACACACACACACACGCACTCACTCACTCCTGCTCTACTTCCTCTTCTTTTTTTAGAGGTGCTTCCGCTTTTCATTGCGCGCGTCGCCCGTTCGCCGCACGTGAATGCGCTCAATCAACTACTCGCGCATTGGGCTTGCTATCTCCTGCGCGCTTCCTTTTTCCCAAGGGGAGAGCTATCTCCTGCGCGCTTCCTTTTTCCCAAGCGCTCTCCCCTTGCTCCTCGCGCGTTGCTCCTCCTCATCACGTCTTTCTTCACAAACGATCTTCTTCCTCTCATGTCCCCCACGTGTCTCCTCGTAATTCCCGTTCGTGCGTCCGTTTTCTCCCTTTTGTTCTCCTTCATCGCCCGCGTGCCATCTCCAGCGCGCGTCTGCTCCTCTTCGTCGTGCGTCTGGGCTGCCATCATCGCGCGCCTGCCTAAGCTGCCTTCTCCTTGCCTCACATTCCATCTCTTCTTCATCGCCCATTCGTCGCCTCCCCCCTTAAATTTTCTTCCCTCCATCATGCATGCGCTCAATATTTCCACTCGCACGCTCATCCGCGCTCACCTATCTCTTGCTGCTCGTTCTCTCGTCATCCGCCACGTGCGGGTCTTCGTCTTCCCGCCTGCAATGGTCCGTCGTCTCCCTCATAGGCGCGCGCTGTGGTCTCCTTCTTCCTCCCGCAGTGGCTCCTCATCTCCTTCATCGACGCGACGGTCTCCTTTGTCCTCACGCTGCTTGCTCTCCCTTGCTCCGCGCTCGCATCCGTTTATTGGAATGGTGAAAGTGTATGTCCTTCGTCCGTCTTTCTATCTTCTTCTTCTTCTTCTTTTTTTTTTTTTTTTTTTTTTTTTACCACGGAAAACGGCAACCAGAACGAGATTAATTGACGAACGAATGACCGTCCGTCTTTCTATCTACTTGGTTCATTTACATACACATTTCTTCTTTTGTGTTGTGCTGTGCTGTGGTGGGACTCGCAGGTGACCACCATGCCATACGGACGGTGATGACAATGATCATGGAGGAATGCTCTGCTGCCAGCTTTCCCTTTCATTGTGTGTGTACTGTTATGCAGTTCATTCTAATTCAACAACTTACAATCTGGACGTAATCGCGGTCAGACACATGCAGGGTAGACACCCTCCCTGTAGTGAGGTCACATTTGAAAAAGAATAGGTTCTTCTTGCTCCATCCCGTTCTGTATAAGGGACGTTGGACCCAGTTTCCAGCACTTGATACTCCCCACCAATAGATTGGAGTCATCAGTGGAGGTGCTACTACCAGGTAGCCTACTAGTGGGGGCTCCTCACACCACCACTAGCAGCTCTGGCCGAATTTTCAAAAACAAAAAAGAAAAAAAAAAAGGTTCTCTCTCCAGATGCCACAACTGAGTAGGAATAGGAAGATCAATGGCTATGGCCAGAGGTGAATGAAGAATTAGTGAGAGCATACTCATACCCTGCATGTATATCTGACAGCGATTACGTCCAGATATCAGTCAAAAAGTACTGGTGTGACTCGCTTCTGGTGTTGAGAACGGATCTGGCCTCTTTACTCGTCCATGTGCAGGTGAACCCTTGGTGGAGCAGGGCCCTTGCAGGAGTAGAACCCCTAATAGGGTGCATACATGATTCAAGTATAGTGTCTGGGATGGAGACGACCAAGTGTTCCTGCCCGTAGATGTCTCCTAGGTCGACGGTGAGAAACGCTTGATCCTTAGCAGATGTAGTGGCACCCCCTCCTGCGTTACATTACAAAATTATCTGCAAAACCCGTAGAGTAAAAAAAAAAAAAAAAAAAAAAAAAAACGTAGAGTCGGCAGCAAAGCTAGTAGAAGAGGAGTGTTTGTTTGTACAGCAGAAAGGGCAAAAAAACAAGAAGAACAAGAAGAAGAATAAAAAGAAAACAGGAGGAGGAAGAAGGTAGAGGGAGAGGGAAAGGCGAAAGGCAAGGCAAGAAAGCAACACCTACTGCTCTCTCTCTCTCTGGTGCTGCTATCACGGACTAAGGGCCATGGCGGAGTTGGAGGGAGGGAGCATATATGACTTAATCCCCCCCCCGGAGGTCATAGTGCAGAAGCCACCCATTTATAGGTCCAAATATGACTGGCGAATTGATCCTGCCAAATTTTTTATGGGGGTGAGAGTGAAGAGAAGTAGGGCCACATTTGGGCCCCCGAAAAACTCTCTTAAGCCCAGCACCAAGAGGTTCCTCATGAAACACGAGAAGGAGTTCAAGCTGCCAGAACCGGGACCCGTCACGAATCCTAAGAAAAAAATGAAGGCCCCCATTCCCAAGGAGCCCCCGGTACACGGGCTAAGGTCTGGAAACAATTTCATCACTGTGAATGCAGTTAAGGCCATCAACATGGAACCGAAGCCACCCAAGGATCCCCCGGTGCAGTACGTCAAGAAGATTGATTATGGGAAAGTACCGCAGTACCTTTTGTACATCAAGAAGATGATCGACAATGAGCGGAGGATGATTGAGAACATCCACAGAAGCTGGTTGACGAAGTCTCACCAGTTCCAGAAGACGAGGCGAATGGAGGAGGACGAAAGGGCGCAACTTCTTCGCGGCCTCAAGCTGAAATGGCAGTCCTTAAACCAAGCATACCAGAGAATAAGTTTCACCGTCGACACACAAGCAAGGAAAATGAGGAAAGAACAGTTTGAAGAAAGGCTTGAGAGCATTGAAAAGGACATTGTCACTCTTTCGCATCGGGTCGTGCTCATTTCCGAGAAGGATTCAGTGCCGGATCCAACAGCCTGAAGGGGGAAGGGAGGGGAGGGCGTGGACGCCGTGGAGGAGGTTGATCGATCTTCCCTGTTCTTTTTCTCCCCTTTCGAATCTAATCGACTGCATTCATTTTCCCTGAGCCGGTCGGTCTTCCATTGCCACTCTTTTTTTGCAGTGAGAAGGATTTGTCATCGGCTCCAACAACCTGAGGGGAGGCACGAGGAAAGGGGGCGGGGGGGGGGGGGRGKGTMTWTYTTCACTGTTCTTTTTCTCCCTTTTGCGGGTGGTGCTTATTTCTGAGAAAGATTTGTCATCTGATCCAACAGCCTGAAGGGGGGAGGGGAGGGAAGACATCTTCTTCTTAGTTTCTCGTCTTCGACTACATTTCTCCTGTATTGGTTTTCCATTGCCAGTCTTTTGCATCAGGTGCTCATTCCTGAGAACGATGCATCATTCGAGTCGCATACAGCAGTCTGAAGGAAGTGGGGGAGGCAAGGTGAGGGGAGGGAGCCGACGCGAGGGGAGGGGAAGGGAAGGAGGAAAGGGGAGGGAACATAGATTTCGTCAAAACGGACATATTTTATTTTTGACTTTGGCTGAGTCCAGATACATCAAGGGGGTAGGGCGGTTTCAGAACACCATACCCAAAATTTCATCAAATTTTGGGCTCAGTTTGGATTTTCAATTTTGTTCAAAAAATAAAGAAAATATATCCGTTTTGACGAAATCGACGTTAGGGGAGGGGAGGGGAGGGAAGGGGAGGGGAGGGGAGGGGAGGAGGAGGGGGGGGCGGTTCTGTCTTCTCTTTTGCTCCTCTTCAACTGCATTTTCCTGCATCAGACCGCCATCGGTCTTCAGTTGCTGCTCTTTTTCCATATCAGGTCGTGCTCGTTTCCGAGAAGAATCATTATGTCATTCCATTTGGATCCAACGGCCTGAATGCAGGGGAGGGCGAAGGGTTTTCACTTGCCTTTTTTGTCTCCTGTTTGACTGGATTTCCTGTGTATCGGTCTTCAGTTGACACTCTTTTTTCTTTTCTTTTTTTTTCTTTTTTAACAAAGCCCGAGTTAATGCTAGGAGTGCTGGTAGGAGCAGGCACCGCTAGCACCCCTTGAGTCTTGACACTCTTTCGCATTGGCTGGTGTTTGTTTCCGTGAAGACTCATGGGGCATCAGATTCAATGTCCCAAGCGAAGGGGAGTGTGGTTTGCCTTCTCTTTGCTCCTCTTGAACTGCATTTCTCCTCTATCGGTCTTCCAGTCTTGCCTTCATTCGGGAAGCTCGTCGGACTGGGGTGGTTGTTGCTGCCATAGGTGGTCCAACATGATTTCGGGCTTGGAGTTCATTACGATACCTTTTGGTATCCCTCAGGTAATATCATGTTGCTGGGCTTCTGGACTCTGTCTATATGTTTTGAAAGTCTGATGGTGCTGGGCTTCTGGACTCTGTCTAATTATGTTCTGAAAGTCTGATGGTGAGATCTATTGTCACTTGTTGTTGTCTGATCATTGCATATTCTTCAAGCAAAGGGATGTTGGTAGATTATCACCAAGTAACCTCTTCTCAGCAACTTCCTTTTTTCTTTTTCCCTTTGGACATCGGCTATGGGCCTAATGCAAGCGCCGATAAGAGCGGACTCCTGCATGAGGTCCCTAGTTCAGAAGAGGTTAACATAGCCCAACAATTTCAGGGTTTTTTCAGGGTCATTATAACAAAATTCTCACACCTTTTAAGCCAGAGTTGTCGCCAGTCCATAGAGTGGATACCAAACAAACCAACAGCAAACAAAAAAAAGCAAAAAAATGGATTGAAGGGGCCTAAAATCCCAAAGCAAAAGTGTGTTTTCATGCAAAATTCGCTCTTTTGAGTCTTTTCAGTTTTTCAGGATTTTCAGGGCTGGCCAAAACAGTCGTCTCCAAGACCCCAGCAAGCACCAAACTGGACACATGCAGACATTGACCAAAAGTAAAGCAGGGCAAAAAAAAAAAAAAAAAAAAAAAAACCCTAAAAAAGAAACTGTCAAATGCACTTTTCTTTGTTGGGGGTATGATGCTCCCCACAAATAGATCGGAGCTAACTTTGAAAAAATAAAAAATAAAAAATGTTGGGGGTGTTAACCAGGGGCTGAAAAGTGGGGGTCCTTGTTAACCACTTGTGCCCTAGTTGTGATGGCTAGGAAAGCCTACAGTCTATTAGTGGGGACCTGCCCCTGTTGTGCCCCTTTTTATAATAACATGTTTACTGTTCCCTTTTTTTTTTATAATGAAAATTCCACATTAGAAGGTAACAGATAGGAGTGATGGTAAAAGCATACACTCCTACCTGTCCTACAGGGGGCTCCAGTCTATTGGTGGGGAGCTACACCTGCTGTGTGGCAGACCCGCCGGGATGGCGGTCCGTCAGGATGAAAGCGAAGGGGTGAACAAGACGGATATGGAGATGGAGCTGGAAAGGACAGCGCAGATCCGACGTGGACTCAACACGCACGTACTCCAAAATGTGCAGAATGAAGAATGAACTGAAAACAGACAACAGCTGGGGTATACCCCAGCGGACTGACTGGACTGGACTTGACTGGACTGGACTGGACTGGACTGGTACCGACAGTGGTACCGGGCAGGACTAGACTGGACCGGAACAGCACACGGCCTGTGGGGTCAGGCCACGGCCTGGTCCCACAGGCCGAACAGGCAAATAGCCCAATAGGCCCTGGCCTACAAATAGAGGTCCGCTGCATGCTTGAAAGCAGGTCCAGCATATTCTGAGATACAGAAATAGTTGAATGAACAGCAACTGCTGGGAAACGGGCCCAGCATCCCTTCATCATCTGATCCAAAGTCTGTCACTTACTGCCCTAGAATGAAACTTGAACACTGGATGTGATGAAGGGAATGGTAATGATGCTGGTAATGATGCTGGTAATGATGCAGAGAAGTTGAGATAGTTAGTGAACAATCAGTGCCTCTTCACCCCTTCACAGGGTGCCAGATTTCCAAGTTTCCTAGCACAGGTTCACTGTTGTTTAAATGTTTGGCTACTGGTGTGGGAGCATTATGTCTCGTTATCCGACTTCTGGGTGTCATAGTGTCATAACTTACTAGCATTTACCTACTCCATTTATCATTAATACACTGCTGTTTCAAATGTCATACCCATACCATGATCTAGGTACCAAGCAATCATGGGGAGGAGGAAAGAAGTCTGGGAAATCTCCATGAGATCTCAGGGGGACTGTGGGATCCACATCAGACCGAGTCCAATCATTGAAAACCAGGCGATAATTTTTCCGGAGCTCCCCCTCATCTCTGGCCTGTCCCACTTTCCCACCCTGGTTTCCCCCCAGCCAGCAAGAACCGAATTGATGAATGTGATGTAGAATCTCAGTTTTTGATAAAAGGGATTGAATTTTCTCCATACAGCATTCCCATTTAGTCCTGATGTCTGCCTGTATCTTTTGCTTAATGGAATCAGTGAATTATGGGCCATCTAATCTCGCACCCTCCAACTCATGGGTGCATCTTCTCATCCAGATTGCCCATAGGACGGCCCTCCTCCCTATTATGAACAAATTGGATGTGAACTCATCCAGATTATCAGGGCACCAGGTTTCAAATAATAATACTTTCATGTCCCAGGGTTATGGTTTGGACGTCTCCAGTTGAGACCAGATTCTATCCCACCATCGCCATAGCCATACCGCGCTATGGCGTGTGAGGAAAACATGTCCAGTAGTTTCCGAAAAAAATTGAGAGGGAAAGGCTGATTTGCAGAACTTACACCATGGAAGAGCTATTCCTCGCTGCTCTAACGTAGACCTATCTATTATCCAGTCATTTGTTGGAAGGCATCAGTGTGAGATTTCTCAGTGTAGGGATGCTACTTTGGCAGGTTTGAATCTAATGGAGTGAAACCACTTAACTGAGTGAAGTGAGACTCACATTCAACTGCTTCATCCATCTAGCTTCCACTCTATCTTTAATATTGACTCTTGTCTGCAGCATCCTATAAGGAGATTTAACTGATAAGGTGTGTAGAGACCGAGAGTAAGCCCTTCCTCGTCCTGCTGAGGTGGACCAATTCCAATTAGCCGGGTCTGGCGGTAGGTCAGCTATGGATGTTTCCAGTTGAAAAGCTAATCATTTATCCTTGATTTTTAATACCCTAATCATGTAGATCTGATCTGCTTTCGCCCACTTAATGTCCTCTCTCTACCTAGGCCGAAGCGTCCCCTCGGGTTGTAGATCAAAGATAGATAATAGTATTAACTCTCGAGAAAAAAAATATATATGTTGCCTACTATTCCAGATTGTCCTCTAATTGTCACCGAATTGTTAGTAGATAGTTTTGGGTCGTTCCTTAATATGCGGACCCAATCTAGTAGGATAATATTAATAACCTATTCAAGTGCTTCCGACATGTGGTGGCCATAACATAGACGGTCTCGTAGCTCCTCTGGGAAAATCCAGTTCTTTTCATTTTGGTTCTAGATATCCTTGATACAAATTATTTCATTTCTTATCCAACCTTTCCATGGTAAGTTCATACAGTGAAGGGTATAACCTTGAGAGTCTCTGAGGAAGGGGTTGCTAAAAAGGGGTTGACATACTCTCTCCCATCTTTGAAGCTCCGTCTTGTCAAGTAAAGGTAGTTTCTCCATGTTTTAAGAAGTATAGCCAAAAATGGATCTCTACGTAAATCCGATCTGCACGCTTGCCGATTTGACATTTCTCTCGGCATTGTCCAAGATTGGTTTTCTAACCACATTAATCAGTTGACACTATTTGGGATAACTGGCGCCAATCTTCTGATTTGTTCATGGGCGAGTCGATTCCAGGGGGTAAGTGAGATGAAAAGGACACATTCGAGACAATGAATCGGCCAAGCAACCAATTCCCTGACTTCTTCCCCCCCCTGCAAATAGTCTTGTAAGCAAGGCATGGTATGAGGGAGAGTGAGGAGTAGCCAGACTGCTAGAGCCTATGGATAGCATCAAGCGGCCCAACGAAGAAGAGGCAGATCTAGCAAAGTCTATTTGTTCTCAAGGATTAGATGTGCATGTTGTACTCGGAAGAAGGATAGGACTAGCAGTGGGGTTTGCAGTGGGGTTTGCATAAACATGTGAAATGTTACGATGTGAAGGGACGCTGGACCCGGTTTCCAGCAGGTGTCGCTCCCCACCAATAGACGGAGCCGCCATGAGAAGTAGTA